CCAAAATTCCAAGATTTAAACGGAAGAGCAACCTAGCAGAGAACCAAACAACAATAACCTTGAAATTAACCAACCCTACTCAATGGAAGAACTAACTCACGTACTTCAAAATAGGAAAAAGGGCACAGCCCAAGGACTAGACCTAACATCATACCAAATAATCAAAAAGCTCCCCCCTAAACTACTCCAGGCACTACTTAATCTCTATAACATTATCTATCAAAACGGACAGGCACCTACTCCCTGGAAACAGGCACTAGTCATCCCGATACCTAAACCCGGTAAACCAACTAATCAGGCTAACTCGTACAGACCAATTTCCTTAACCTCAAACTTATGTAAAGTAATGGAATCTATGGCCAAAAACAGATTACAACACTACCTTACTCAAAATAACATCATAAATCAAGACCAAAGTGGTTTCACTCCTGGCCGCTCAACCTTAGATAACCTCGCCCGACTAGAGCAGGTTATTAAAACAGGTCAGCTAAACAAACAATATACAACAGGCATCTTTCTAGACTTCTTAAAAGCATTCGACATGGTTTGGCACAACGGGCTAATACAAAAACTCAAGAAAAAAGGATTAAAAGGACAAATACTAAACTATATCCAGGACTTTCTAAACGATCGTAAAATAACAGTAGGAATAGACCAAACACTATCGGACCAGTGTCCCTTAGAAAATGGCACCCCCCAAGGCAGTATCCTAAGCCCCATTCTCTTCAACATAATGATAAACGACTTATTCGCGGGCCTATCCCCTAAAATAAACACATCCAAATTCGCGGATAACGGAGCCATCTGGATCCGCACTAAAAGTATCAATATGTCCCAAACTCTACTCTAAAAGTCCTTTTACCAAATACAACACTGGGCTGATAAATGGGGCTTCTCCCTAAACTCGGAAAAAACAACAGGAATAGTTTTCAAACATAAAAATATGAAACCTGCTACTCCAACCCTCCAGCTAAAGAACAAACCAATAAAATTCCAAAAACAAACTAAATTCCTAGGGCTAATCTTCGATGAACACCTCACATTGGGGGCTCATGTTAATCACCTAACCACTAAATGCAACAAAGACTTAAACACATTAAAATGCCTCATGAGCTCCAACTTGGGGGCCTGTAAAGAAACTCTCCTCTCACTCTATATCTCACTAATTAGATCTAAACTAGGCTACGGCTGTGCAATCTACAACACCTTAAACCAAACTCTCTCCCAAAAACTAGACTCAATACAATGTCAAGCCCTTAGACTGGTCACTCGTACCCAATATGGCACTTCCCTCACTTCACTTCAGGCCCTTACAGGAGAAATGCCACTAAATCTCCGAAGGGAACACCTCACCTTAAACTTCTGGGCCGCGTCCCAATCCAACCCCCTAATCAATAACTTAATAAACCAAAACATCCGACCCCCAAATCAAGCTCTAACTAGGAAACACCCACTACTCTCACCAATATCTCAACGAATAAATAACTATCTAAAAGAACACAAAATTACCAACCTAAAGTTAAACTGCAAACCATCAAAAATCTTCACACCAACGCTCCAAACTCCCAAAATAGATATATCACTAGCCAATACAATCAACAAACAAACCGACCCAAACATAGCTAAAACTACCTCCCTAGCATACATAAACGAAAATTGGCCGAATTGGTGCAACATCTACACAGACGGATCCTCTGATCCGATATCCAACCACACAGGTTTCGGAATCCACATCGCACAACCTACTAAAAGCACACAATCCTTTCGACTCCCAAACAATCAATCTATCTTCACAGCAGAGCTAATGGGCATGGCCTCAGCTCTCCATAACCAACAAACTAAAAAACACCAAAATATCCTAATCCTCACAGATTCCCTCAGCGGTTTACAGGCCCTCCAAAACAAAAACACTAAAAACCGCCAAAAACTTATAAACCAAATATTAAAAAGCTCTAACGAACTAGCCAAAGCAGGTAAACAAATAGTATTCATTTGGATCCCTGCACACTTAGGAATCTACGGCAACGAACACGACGATAAAGCTGCTAAACAATCACTCAAAATACCAGAAATAAGCCTAAACCTACCAATCTCAAAATCAGAAATCAAAAGTATCAACAAACGCAACCTCACCAAAAAATGGCATTCCCAATATCAAAATTCAAGTAGTCAAATTAAAAAAATCCTAAAATAACCACTTACCAAACCTAAAACCCTCCATCCTTCCAAAAGAATCGACAGAGTAATCACAAAACTCCAAACCGGACACACTAACCTAAACACCCACTTAAATAAAATTTAAAAAACACGCAACAGGAAACTGCCCACACCGCAAACAACTAGAAACTCCAGAACACGCACTCATACACCGCACCCACTACCAGACACATAGAGTTACTCTACAAACCAAACTAAATAAGGCTCTTACGTTACCAACTATCCTTAACCCTAAAAATAAGTCAGAAGAATTCAAAGCCTTAGGCGTATTCCTAATTAAAACCGACCTAATCAAGCGCATCTAAACCCAACCTCCTAAACACACCAACCACATAAACCACTAACCACACCATAACCTGCTCCCTTAGTACGCCCACCATTCCCTCTTAGCATTTATTCCAAATCTAAAAATTTAAAAAATCCTTTTCTAAGCAACCACTTAACTCCTCCTCCGGGTTGCATAATCCTTCAACCCTTTCGGAAACTCACTAAATGGTCTGGCCGGGCCCGTGTGCGAAATACGCTAGAGTCGGAAAGCGCACGTACAATCTCCAATGTAAGTAAGTACACACGTATAGATTTTACATTATGTGACAGTTCATGATTGTGTTACCTATGTTTTTTATTGATACACGTGAGGGCAGAGGTTTGACTTTAACACAGAAAGTAGACTAGACATTGACATATCCAGCAGGTGTCCACCATGATTACATCCATATATAGTCTGGAAGGTTATTTAAGGTACGGACGTTTACTACAATGTCTGAAAAACTATCGGACCTACTGCAGTCAAAGTTGGTAAGAGATTATTAAACAGTCATACATAACTGGACATTACATTTAACGACAATCGGTGCATGAATAAAAAATCTGTCTGTTTAGCTGTCACTATATTTCATCAACAACCAGACCTGTTCGTCACGGGTGGAACGAGCATTCATTGTAACAGCCATCTGCATTATGCTACCCCTGCGTCACAGGGCCATATGACACAGTTGAACCAATCAACTCAACTCGAAAGGGTGGACGGGAATCACGCAAGTTGAGAAGCCCAACGCTAACACCGTATTTGTCCGTGTGTGATTCCCGGGCACCCTTTCGAGTTGAGTTGATTGGTTCAACTGTGGAACACGGAGCTAGGGAGACAGATTATGGTCTGCCTTTATAACACAAGCAGTTACAAGTTATAACGAAAGTAGAAATGAGCTTAAACGTCCATCCATATAGTTCTGTAGGATGTCAGTTAGCAGCTGAATCGTCATCGCTGATGACAGGCTACACACTCAAGATTACTGTTATCAAAATCAATTAACATGGAGCTGGAAAGACAGATTATCGTCTGCTTTTATCTGCGGTCGTGGTACCAGTAGTTACGGGTTATAACGAAAGTAGAAATTAGCTGAAACGTCTGCTGGTGTCCACCCACCTACCCCGCACATTAGCATACTCGGGTCATTTGATTTGCTGCCTAAGTGAAGATTCCGTTTTATGTACATTAACATGCGTGCTGGAAACACCACATGAACGATAGGTAAGTTCTTCGGGTCGGGGGAGGTGTTGTGGCGATAACAAGATTGGATCAGAGTTATGTCCCTTTAAGCATCATCGGCTTGCATGTATGTTTAATATCAGTCATATGACAGTATATGCCTGTATGATTTTGTCTGTCGTGTGTGTGTGTGATGTGTGTGTATTTGAGTGTGCGTGCGCGCATGCGTGTGCATGTGTGTGGACAATCTGTATCCGGTCATGAAAACAATGAAGACTTTAAGTTTTTACTCATCCATACACCCGGTGTCGTCACTGATTCCCAGTTATCTATTCATAACATTTTCACCACTGTTTTGCCTTAGATGACGCCCAATGGAATGCTTTTCGGCAGATGCTGGTTATTCTTTGGCGTTGTCGATTTTTATAAAATCTTAACGTAGTACTTCATAGAGGAGAGTGCGTATCCCAAACACGCCAATATTTGACGACGGTTTAATACACGTGTCTACTCGCCGTCTTGACCTGGTAAGGTCACGTGAGAAAGTTGTGGGGTGACAGGCAACCAGGAAATAAAGTATTGAAGTACGTGCAGTACTCGGGGGAGGTGTGGTGTGTGTTTCAAACCTGATTTACCTTTCACTACAAGAAGCTGAAACATCAACCTGTGTTTATGGAAATGGGTCCATGGCTTAAACGACTGTTGTTCTTGTTTCGGTTTGAAATTAGTCTACTGTTAGATTGTTGAATTAAGATCGTTTTATGGAACTAATTTTAATATCCATGTGCATTAATTCTGTGTCATGTGTTTGAAAAACATGGCATACATTCCACCCAGTCTCTCCACTTCATGGAATGTACATATTCATTACTTAGGGGAAAAGGTGAAATAGTATCATGATACTGCGGGGTATTTGAGGTTTAGGGCGACTTACGTAAAACATATTTAACAAGAGTCATAATGTTCCACAGATATACATGGAATGGGCGCCGTGTTGTCATGTAAACTCCTGTCTCAGTGTCTTGTAATGATGTCACGTCTTGGGACGTTGGGGATGATGCATTCATGTACATGTTGTATGATTCTGTCTATAACATGTGCATATATATTTCACTAAACTATCGGTTTGGCTTCAGATGGCGACCGCGAAGAACCTGACAGAGAACCACCTCACCTGTGTCATCTGTTCTGAGGTGTTCACAGACCCAGCCACACTTCAGTGTCATCATACATTCTGTAAGTCCTGTCTGCTGAAATACACCTACACACAACCGGAAGCAGTACAAGCCAAGTCCATCCGATGTCCCTCCTGTAGACAACAGATGAAGGTGACTAACCCTGGCAGTCCAGTAGAGGAGTGGGTCAGTCAGCTGAAACCACGCCACATCATACAGGGGCTAATGGACGACTTTGGACCCAGCACAAAGGGTAATCAGCTCATTATTGTACTGCCTGACTAATATACCCTTTTAAAAGATATGTAAACAACCACAAACGTGTACATATACAAGCATTCACTCATTTGAGTTCTTATTGTGACTTCATGTTAATAGATTTTGATGCAGGATACTCATTTCTTTCTTGCAAAAGCAAATAAATTAGATTCCGTTTGCGATTAAGAGTTTCCGATAATTTTATGAAATCAACATGAATTTCATGTCCTACCCCTACCACGTCGTAATTCCTTTTTGTTATATTATTGTCAGTTAATATTAGAATTTGTATGACAAGCTAGCATATAAATGTCACAATTTGTGTCTGCTTATCCTGATTAGGGACTACAATACATGTCACAGCTAGGACGGGTTGTGTTGACAGAACTATGGGGTTTATCTTAGTCGCCCTCCACTGTGACATGCCACAGCTAGAACGGGTTGTGTTGACAGAACTGTGGGGTTGATTTTAGTTGCCCTCCACTGTGACATGACACAGCTAGCACAGGGATGTGTTGACAGAACTGTGGGGTTGATCTTTAGTTGCAGGTACATCTTACTGTCTGTGCCATGGCCCTACATTGTAACAAAGCATGTTAAATGAAAACGTGTATGTTAAGTTCCCTGTCAGTTCAGTCTCCCATCTATAAAGACGCTATAACGCCCGCAGGTTTTAATATGCATCTGTTATTGCATATCTAGTCAGCAGATAATGATCTTGTGGTTATGATTACCTGTAGGTCATGATTGACTAGGAAGTGCTACATTGTGAGACAGCATCATTGTTTCGTTACAACCTGTGTCATATGATATGTTCATCTCAAAAAAGGGCGTGGCCGTTTATAACAAAACTAATGTGTTACCTGTTATTATTTCTTTAGATGGTGAGCGATTCTTATCATGTTTTTGACAAATGAGTAAAACACACTTGTCTTTTTAGCTGTGGAGGAACATGTGTGCAGTGTTTGTACAAAACAAGGAAAGACAACTGGTGCTCTGTCAGCGATGTTGTGTACTGTGAAGGATGTCTCCAGTTGCACAACATGATGCCAGGGTTGTGTGACCATGAAGTAGCTCACTTGTCTGATCACACCAAAACAAAGGTCAAGCGTTGCTTCATGTGTCAAGTCCACAGAGACAAACCGATAGAGTTGTTCTGTAAAGACTGCAAGCAGGCAATATGCACGATATGTTGCAGTATAAAACGCAGGGCATGTAAGGATGTTGATACAATAGAGAGTACCACCCCTCTTGTGAAGGAACAACTGACAAGCAAAATAGAGCGGCTCAGAATCAACATTGCAGCTGCGAATAATATCATAACCCAGATAAAATCTACAATTCAAGATGTGAAGAGTAATTCACAAACCCTCAAAGATCAAGTCACAAAGACACGGGAAACAGTGATGTGTGCTATTTTAAGAAAAGAGAAGCAACTCCTTGGTGACATCGACAAAGCTACTGATGACCAATTACGTGAGTTACAAGCAGATATAAAAATCCAGGAGATCGAGCTACAGATGTACCAGCAGCAGTATGAGTTCACAGCCAATGCTGTGACGTCCAACTGTGAGATGGACATGTATGCCGTCTATGAGTCGGTGGATGAGACGTCTACAGACAACAGAGACACGGGCAACAGACCAGCACCAAGATGGGTTGTATTGACACACGACCTGGACAAGCTGAGTAAAGCAGTTGATGAGCTACAGCTGGGGGAGGTTGAAGTTGTCCATGATGTGAGTGACCCCGGGTCTTCTCCTGTTCTACATCACAACATTAACTGCAAGGAAGCTGGGGACGGGAGGGATCCTTCGTTCGTTGACGTCACAGTGTTGACTGTTGATGGCATCAAAGTGGTGGTAGTTGCAGATTATAATGACAAGAGCCTCAAAACATATTACACCTCAAACCTCAAATCCTTTCATAATAAGCTTCTGCTTTCTAATTTTCCTTGGCAAATAGCCAAGTTAAGTGAGAGTCAGATAGCTGTCAGTGTTTGAGGCAGTAAGGAAATAGTTACAGTGAATGTTACCCCAGGTCCTGTATTATTGTCAACTATCACAACAAGCAAGCAGTACCGGTCTCTAGCCTCTCTGAGTCCTTCACAGCTGGCGGCAGGTACATGGAGACAGCCTCACTCTGTGGACATACTGGACATGGCAGGGAGGATACTGAGGTCTATCAACACGGGGGTAATAGAGAGTCCAGACTACATCCACGTCACCAGGAACTACAACTTAATAGTCAGTGCAGGAGACGTAAAATCCCTTGTATGTGTGACCAGTGAAGGGGACGCTGTTTTCACCTACGATTCAACAGGAGACAGAGCTCTGACATGTCCTCTAGGTATCACAACAACCAGCACAGGAGATATCCTGCTTGTAGACTATGACTCCCACAAGGTTATTCAGCTGACACAATCGGGGCAGTTTGTCAGAGATGTCCTCACACAACAGGATGGTCTGGAATATCCTCGTGGTGTCCGTCTTGATGCTGACGGCCTGCTGTATGTTACGTCTGACAGATATGTGAAAGTATTCAAATTCTGCCGGCGCTGAATGTGGAATTAGAGATAACTTTGATACATACACAGTTGAATCTTTCAAAAGTTGAATGCTGCTTTAGGTCCAGATCGGATCCAGTTCTTCCCTTACACACGTAGTCCATCATGTCATTGATTAAATAAAGGGCGACCTAACACCAGTAGTAGTCTGACCTGATAGAAGTACTTCTCAAGTACCTTGCGAAAGGAACGCACAATGACAGCACTGAATGAGGGCAACACTGTACGAGAGATCACGTGACCTAGACAGATGGTATTGGACAGTATTGTTGTTTTATATTGTTCATAGAACAGTAATGTTGTGTTGTGTAGTGTACTATACATCTGACGTGTGTTGTCATGGAGTAACATGTTCACACAATTGCGCATGCTATCGGTCTTTAGATTATCAGTTCGACAACCCATCACCTAATGTTTTAAAGGGGCGTTTAACTCTTATAAAACACCACAAGCGTTCTGTGATCTACAGCGGATATAATGTGTTGATGCTGTGAGAACTGGTTGAGTTCTGTAAATGTACTAATTTGTATCAGTTATTTCCACAATCTGTCGTATTGAGTAGAGTATAATAGTAACAACATTCCACTCAATTCGTACAATACACTCTCAATCAGTCAAGGAAATCTTTGCCGTAGCGATGTTCAAGGAAAACAATGCTATACACCCATGCAGGTGAATTTGTATTCATTGTTTACAAGGGACAGGGTGTGGTTTGACAGGTGATCAAAGGGACACAACTCTGTGCAGAAATATGTATCTCTTTATGCTCTTAATATGCTCTTCCGGAGCCTCGGAATATTCATAAATCTATAATTTGTCCTGAGGTTTTACAAAAGCAATTTATTGCTCACTGGACATGTTTGATCTTCTGAACAAAATGCGTCATAAAAAGATATTGATCGGCTGCTACTTTCATAAAACAAGTTTGGTGTTCTATAGCAATGACTGAAAACATATCCTGTCTGGAACAGAAATCCCATGTGTAAAGTGTAAACGTTGTTTATTCTGGCGAACAGTTATTGCTTGACCGCTCACCCAAGTTAATCACGTTAATACGTGGCATCACAACTACTAAATGATTATACATATATGTTTAAATAGTCCGTACATATACTAGTATATAATCAATTAGCCTTTATTGCATATGCAGGAAACTAGGATATCAGCTAAGTAAGGATGGATGAACAACTTCTATATTACTTCGTACTTCAACTTCTAAATGCCTCTCAAAGTAGTCATGATATCAGCTGACGATTTTGCATTTTGTCAGAAACAAGTGTGAGCAAGTAGCATTGAACCTGTCACAAGAGCGGAGTTAACAGCACACACAACAAAATGCAAGCAAGAGTATGTCATCAACTTATATTTTGTCATTTAATCTTTATATTTCTAATAACCTGACATGTTATAGGTAAGGAGATAGTAATGTTTTTCACACTATGAATGAGTGACATATTTCATCCATCATTGTGTATTCCAATGGTTCGTGATACATTTTAATTGCTTAACGTGTTGGATCTGTATATAATAGTCTAATGTACAGTCAAACATTTTTAAGGGTAGAAGTTGGAAATTATTTGTCATTTCACACTTTTTTGATTGGTTGTCAATCATGTTGTTAGATTGACAGGTGGCGATAGGTTAATTGATAGATATACTAATATCACTTCTGTGGCTAATTTAATTGATTGGCTAATTTGCCTTGATCTATATCCGTATATCATTCTTATTAATAAAACTACTTAACTTTAATTTTCTGGAGACAAGAATAGTTCAGTGTTTGAAACAGAATGTATCAATAAAAACACAGATGCTTTTATCAAAGCTCTAAGGTATATTCATGTTTTACTCATTCAGTGTACCAACGAATAGCCCTCATACCATGCCACTTGCCAGTCTACGACACCGGCATCGATATGACAAAGTCAGAAGTTGCCAAAAACCATCCTATGATGTGTCCGAAGAAAAGTAGATATGCATGATTCAGGAGTGGTCGTTGTTTGTGTGAGTGAGGGGCCTACATAACTGTAGTCATTAGTGAGTGAGTGAGTGCGTGAGTGAGTGAGTGAGGGGGACTACATTACTGTAGCCATTAGTGAGTGAATGAGCGAGGGGGACTGCATTACTGTAGCCATTAGTGAGTGAATGAGTGAGTGAGGGGGTCTACATTACTGTAGTCATAAGTGAGTGCGTGAGTGAGTGAGTGAAGGGGACTACATTACTGTAGCCATCAGTGAGTGAATGAGTGAGGGGGACTACATTACTGTAGCCATTAGTGAGTGAATGAGTGAGGGGGACCACATTACTGTAGCCATTAGTGAGTGAATGAGTGAGGGGGACTACATTACTTTAGACATTAGTGAGTGAATGAGTGAGTGAGGGGCGTACATTACTGTAGTCATTATTGAGTGAATGAGTGAGGGGGACTACATTACTGTATCCATTAGTGAGTGATTGAGTGAGTGAGGGGCGTACATTACTGTAGCCATTAGTGAGTGAATGAGTGAGGGGGACTACATTACTGTAGCCATAAGTGAGTGCGTGAGTGAGTGAGTGAGGGGGACTACATTACTGTAGCCATTAGTGAGTGAATGAGTGAGTGAGTGAGTGAGGGGGTCTACATTACTGTAGTCATTAGTGAGTGAGTGGGTCTACATTACTGTAGCCATTAGTGAGTGAGAGTGAGTGAGTGAAGGGGACTACGTTACTGTAGCCATTAGTGAGTGAATGAGTAAGTGAATGAGTGAGGGGGTCCACATTACTGTAGCCATTAGTGAGTGAATGAGTGAGTGAGTGAGTGAGGGGGTCTACATTACTGTAGTCATTAGTGAGTGAGTGAGTGAGTGAGTGAGGGGGTCTACATTACTGTAGCCATTAGTGAGTGTGTGAGTGAGTGAGGGAGTCTACATTACTGTAGTCATTAGTTAGTGAGTGAGAGGTCTACATTACTGAAATGATTTGTGAGTGAATGAGAGGGCCTACATTACTGTAGCCATTAGTAAGTGAGTGACCTACATTACTGTAGCCATTAGTGAGTGTGTGCGGGGTCTACATTACTGAAATCATTTGTGAGTGAGTGAGGGGCCTACAACAATATAGCAATTAGTTAGTGTGTGAGGGGTCTACATTACTTAAATCATTTGTGAGTGAGTGAGGGGCCTACATTACTATAGCTATGAGTAAGTGAGTGAGGGGTCTACATTACTGAAATCATTTGTGAGTGAGTGAGGGCCTACATTACTATGGCTATTAGTTAGTGTGTGAGGGGTCTACATTACTGAAATTATTTGTGAGTGAGTGAGGGGCCTACATTACTATAGCTATTAGTTAGTGAGTGAGGGGTCTACATTACTGAAATCATTTCTGAGTGAGTGAGGGGCCTACATTACTATAGCTATTACTTAGTGAGTGAGGGGTCTACATTACTGAAATCATTTGTGAGTGAGTGAGGGGCCTACATTACTGTAGTTATTAGTTAGTGAGCGAGGGGTCTCCGTTACTGTGAACATAGGTGAGTGATTGAGTGAGTGAGAGGGCCTACATTACTGTAGCCATTATTGAGTGAGTGAGAGGCCTATATTACTGTAGCCATTAGTGAGTGAGTGAGGGGCCAACATTACTGTAGCCATTAGTGAGTGAGTGAGGGGCCTACATTACTTTAAACATTGAGTGAGTGAGGGGCCAACATTACTGTAGCCATTAGTGGGTGAATGAGGGGCCTACATTACTGTAGCCATTAGTGAGTAATTGAGGGGACTACATTACTGTAGCCATTAAACAGGTTCAGACTCCCGACCTTGTGTGGACCACCTGAGGTATTGTGCTACCCCGTTTCGTACGTACTACGCCACGAGGCAACTCAAAGTGAAACAAGGTGGGTCTTGTTTCCATGCAGTTCCAAGTTGATTCGCCGGCTCTTGTGAAAATTGATATATTTTAAGAAAATGCCAACTTGCAACATGAATATTTAGATCTTGTCCTATAACGAATTCAATTCTATGAAACAGAAAAATGATGGATCAGCTCTTCAGTAAAACAAAAACTTAAATTTTCCTTGATAAGGGTACCTGTGAAAGGTTTGAGTCAAGAAGTCCATTTGTGACATCATCAACTACAAATGTTCATCTTGATTGCCACACTGTTAGTGTTACCATTGTCGGCTCCGTCTTGTTACGTCCAGGCCAATCACTAGACCTTCACTGTAATTGGCTTCTCTCCTGTATTAGTGAGTGAGTGTTAGTGTTACCATTGTCGGCTCCTTCTTGTTACCTCAAGGCCAATCACTAGACCTTCACTGTAATTGGCTTCTCTCCTGTATTAGTGAGTGAGTGTTAGTGTTACCATTGTCGGCTCCTTCTTGTTACGTCCAGGCCAATCACTAAACCTTCACTTTAATTGGCTTCTCTCCTGTATTAGTGAGTGAGTGTTAGTGTTACCATTGTCGACTCCTTCTTGTTACGTCCAGGCCAATCACTAGACCTTCACTGTAATTGGCTTCTCTCCTGTATTAGTGAGTGAGTGTTAGTGTTACCATTGTGGGCTCCTTCTTGTTACGTCCAGGCCAATCACTAGACCTTCACTGTAATTGGCTTCTCTCCTGTAAACATCATTGGCGTCGTCATTATGTTGTTATTTGTGTACATTTATCCCACCTTGTGTAAACGTATCGTCATGTATATATATTAACTCCATGTAGTTACTCAGCATTCATCTGATGAAGGGACAAGAAGTAGCTCTGAAACGTTGTCACAAAGAATAATGTTATCCATAAAAAGTCTCCTGTGTTCGTATTCTTTCAACTTCAAACAACTTCAAAACTTCCCCGATGTCCTGGACTCCTTTACTGCTGCACTTATTGAAGTAGCCACATGGCAGATTGGATATGTACATAGGCCTCAAGTATGTAATGCCACTTTGACCAAAACCTGCACTGTTTCTTGTACAGTAAACTACGGTTATAACGAACTCAAAGGGACCACACATTTTAGTTCGTTATAACCATATTTCGTTATAAGCTTATATACAGCATATATACAGCAAATGTACGGGACCCAGAAAAACAGTTCGTTATATCCGCCGGTTCGTTATAAGCGTGTTCGTTATAAACGTAGTTTACTGTATGTAGATTTTGTACCAACTTACACTGGAAGTATCATGGGTCAACCAATCTTCTGTACCAAGTTTAGAAATGCAAAATGTCTAACCAAAGTTAGATTTAAACACCAGCCCACACATGGCTAATACATATGAATATCTAACCAATGACCAGAAAGCCGTTTCCCTTTGGTTTCAACTAAGCCCCTATGTATATATTTCTGTATACGACCCCCAGTGTATTATTCAAATCTCAATGTACCATGTGACCGGATGTGGACAGAGTGACTCGTGCAACATACATCTGTCATTCACAGACAAACATTCTGTACATCATTGTTTACACCCAAGGAAACTCTCGTCAAGTCAAACATTGCTTCAGAAACACTGAATTATCCTAGCTGGTTTGAAGAACAAAGCAGTGCAATATCTTCAGCTCCTGAATCCTGCTTTGTCTCTACACACCTACCTCAGCACTAAGAGGCTACGTACACGTGACATCACAGACATGTAAGAAACATTTCAGGAGAAAATGTATACCCGTTCATCGTACTTGGTCCGAATTAATAACAGTTATATTTTCACTCTGTGAACTAAGTGGGGTACATGGAATGTTTTAGTCTGACTTGGGTGTTGGTATATTGTGGCAAAAATAGGGTGTTGCCCTTTTTTTAGCTGTAATACGGAAAACACAACACAGACAAGCTCATATGCAAAATGACTTGATAGCATTATCCATTGTACAACTCTAATTTTGCTGAGGATGAAGATTTGATGATATAAGAAAACATCCAACAAATAAAATGTGTTTTGAGTTTGCTGTTTATCGCCACACTCAGAATATTCCAGTTATATGAGGGTGGTTTGTAATTAATCGAGTCTGGACCAGACAGTCCAGTGATTGACATCATGAACATCTATCTACTCAAATGGGATAAGACGTCATGAAGACCTTGTTACTGTAACATGAACATGTGCAGCTAATAATACAACTAGTGTGTGATAAGCAACATAACGCCTTGTCTTATGACATTTTTATTGGAGTTGTAAATCATATTTTACAGGAAAGGGGCGTGAGTGACGTGTTGACAGGTCATAATTTCAGAAAGGGGGGAGCTAGTTGGGTGTTTGAAATAGGGTTTACCGGGCGGCAGATCCAAGATGTTAGATTCAGGAGGAGTAATGTATATCGTCGTTGTATTCAAAGGTGTAGCAAATGCAAGCTAATGGCAATGGAAGCATTAGGAGCTTCTCTGCCGAAGGATTAGATTCCTGTTAATATTCGGTGTATGGTACCTTTTATAGATGGGCTTCTTTCTTATGGTATGTTATCATATTACTATGGGTATGTTATCATATTACTATGGGTATGAAAGAGGCGACTAAGGGGATCGGGTGGTCAGGCTCGCTGACATGGTTCGTTGTCGTTGAATAAGCCCTGGGATGTTCAGAGATTTCAATATTTGTTTGTGAAACTTGTTCCCGCAGTACATTATTACGCGCTTTGGTCTTACACAATGTATGATACAGCTGTATGTTTATTAAACCGATGATCTCTTCAACGTGTGATCTGGCAAGTAATAAAGATCAGTACGCACTCATGAGGTCAACCTTTGCGAGGAAACTGCCTGGGGTGATCAACATTTAGTGTCCCTCAAGTCCGCAAGACATCATCTGCAACACAGAAATCAACTTAGCCAGAGCTCCTGCACATTCTTCGACTGAACTGTACACAATCAGTCTCTATGTGGGCTATAAACCCTCACGTTATACCGCACTTTCGTTAGGCAACACACTGCCGAACTGAAGGTATGAAATATCTTAGGGCTCTTTGCTGCAGCCAAAGGTAGCTTTTTATGCTACAAGTACAGGCAGTACAGCACAACTCTGATCATGGTTACTTGGGTGCAGTCGTATTGATCTGAACCACCCTTGAGGTCAACCTTTGCGAGGAAACTACCTGGGTGATCCACTTTTTACCGTCCTTTAAGTCCAAGTATGAGCACTCACACTTTACCATGTAATAATTCATATCTTTTCCCGCGGAAACTCTCATCGTGGATAAGTCTTATCTCGCTGTCAGTCTTCGGGATAGCAACAAACACACTAGCAACTCTAGGTTTAGATGTGGCAATCGCATAATTCCCTAACATTAATTCTTCCTTTATCTGCAGTTGTGTTTGCTTCCGGTTTAAACATGCCGACCTATGATTCTTAGTCTCTCTGTACTCCTGTCATAGGCCAGTATATCTCCCCATACGTATTTCTATGCAAGGCGCCTTACATCTAGGATGTCATTCAGACAGTCCAGTATTCCAGATATATCCCCTCCTTTGTCAGTAATCATCTTTCAAGACGCCTATACTGGCGTATGTCCACATCTCTGGCGTGAAGTTATCACCGTCCCCTTTTGAACTACCAAGGTCAAGTTTATACCATCCCCGGAATCAAGAAACTTCGCCTCCAGGTCTTGTGCTAACCATTCTATCCACTCATAATCTCTTTGCTTTCTAACGTTTGCCTAGCAAAAGTCAACGCACACGGAGAGTCCTTTTCATATTCCGCAGCCATATTACTTGTAAAACGGATATTGTTTGTTTGTTTGTTGTTTACCGCCGCACTCAGCAATATTCCAGCTATATGACGGCGGTCTGTAAATAATCGAGTTTGGACCAGACAATTCAGTTATTGACCTCATCTGCATCGATCCATGCAATTTGGATCGATGACATGCTTCAACCAAGTCAGTGAGCCTGACCACCCGATCCCGTGAGTCGCCTCTTACGACAAGAATACTAGCCTTTTACGGCAAGCATGGGGTGCTGAGGACCTATTCTACAAAAAAAACAAACTGATATTGAGTGAGTGAGTATGGTTTTAGACTGCTCCTAATCTAATATTCCATCAAAATCTGGCAGGGGACACCAGAAATGGTCGTCACACATTATACCCACCCATGTTAGGCATCACTAGACTACCCCACCACCCTAAAACGGAAAGACCTCCTCAGGATCATGAGCGGCAACCAAGCTCAATATGCAATATTATGGTCTAAGGGGGACAACTCCTCCCTGTGTTACAATACATTCTCTCGAAATTTACACCTTGTAGAAGTTCACGTTTGATTGAAATAACAAAAGAGATTGCACACATTATTTCAGATACATGACTAATGGTCAAACTGAGATAGAATGGCTTGCATCCTGGAGTGTTGGCTTGATGGTACAGATCTGAAGAGAGTCGCACAAAGTTGCTTCTAATGATATACAAGTACATACCTGCACATACCAGATCACGTGATCTACCTAACACGACAGGCGACGAGCGGGTTGTAGTTATTCCAGGAACCAGAAAGAGTGGCGACTTCAGAGAAGAGAGCTCCACGTTGTAATAGAGGTATGTCACATATTTAGACGCCATTGCACATACACACGTATAGATTTTATATTATGTGACAGTACATGGTTGTGTTGCCTATGTTTTACTCTATACACGTCAGGGCAGAGGTTTGACTTGACATTGACATATCCAGCAGGTGTCCACCATGATTACATCCATATATAGTCTGGAAGGTAATTTAAGGTACGGACGTTTACTACAATGTCTGAAAAACTATCGGACCTACTCCAGTCAAAGTTGGTAAGAGATTATTAAACAGTCATACATAACTGATTATTACATTTAACGACAATCGGTGCGTGAATACAAAATCGGTCTGTTTAGCTATCACTATTTTTCATCAACAACCAGACCTGTTCGTCACGGGTGGAACGAGCATTCATTGTAACAGCCATCTGCTTAATGCTACCCCTGCTTCAAAGGGCCATTTGATTTGCACGGGAATCACGCACGTTGAGAAGCCCAACGCTAACACGTATTCGGATGTGCATGATTCCCGTGCACCCTTCCGAGTTGAGTTTATTGGTTCAACTGTGGAACACGGAGCTAGGGAGACAGATTATCGTCTGTCTTTATAACACAAGCAGTTGCAAGTTATAATGAAAGTGGAAATGAGCTTAAACGTCCATCCATATAGTTCTGCAGGATGTCAGTTAGCAGCTGAATCGTCATCGCTGATGAAAGGCAACAAACACAAGATTACTGTTTTCAAAATCAATTAATACGGAGCTGGGCAGACAGATTTTCAACTGCGCTTATCTGAGGTCGTGGTACCAGTAGTTACCGGTTATAACGAAAGTAGAAATTGGCTGAAACGTCTGCTGGTGTCCACCCACCTACCCCGCACATTAGCATACTCGGGTCATTTGATTTGCTGACTAAAATGAAGATTGCGTTTTATGTACATTAACATGCGTGCTGAAAACACCACATGAACGATAGGTAAGTTCTTCGGGTCGGGGGAGGTGTTGTGGCGAAAAACACGATTTGATCAGAGTTATGTCCCTTTAAGCATCATCGACTTGCATGTATGTTTTATATCAGTCATGTGACAGTAGATGCCTGTATGATTTTGTCTGTTGTGTGTGTGTGTGAAGTGTGTGTATTTGAGTGTGCGTGGATGCGTGGGTGCGTGGGTGCGTGCGTGCATGCGTGTGCGTGTGTGTGGACAATCCGATTCGGTCATGAAGACAACGAAGAATTTAAGTTTTTACTCATCCATGAAGTAAACGTTTGTTGCCAGCGAACACCTGGTGTCGACACTGATTTCCAGTTATCTATTCACATAATTTTCACCACTGGTTTGCCTTAAATGGAACGCGCTTCGGCAGATATTGGTTATTCTTTGGCGTTGTCGATTTTTATTAAATCTTAATGTAGTACTTCTCAGAGGAGAGTGTGTATCCCCAAACACGCCAATATTTGACGACGGTTTAAACCACGCTTCTACTCGCCGTCTTGACCTGGTAAGGTCACGTGAGGGGTGTGGGGTGACAGGCAACCAGGAAGTAAAGTATTGAAGTACGTGCAGTACTCGGGGGAGGTGTGGTGTGTGTTTCAAACCTGATTTACCTTTCACTACAAGAAGCTGAAACATCAACCTGTGTTTATGGAAATGGGTCCATGGCTTAAACGACTGTTGTTCTTGTTTCGGCTTGAAATTAATCTACTGTAAGATTGTTGAATTAATATCGTTGTATGGAACTAATTTTAATATCCATTTGCATTAATTGTGTGTCATGTGTTTGAAAAACATGGCATACAATCCACACAGTCTCTCCACTTCATGGAATGTACATATTCATTACTTAGGGGAAAACGTGAAATGGTATCATGATACTGTGTGGTATTTGAGGTTTAGGGCGACTTACGTAAGACATAATTAACAAGAGTGATGTTCCACAAATATAATATACATGGAATGGGGCGCCGTGTTGTCATGTAAACTCCTGTCTCACTGTCTTGTAATGATGTCACGTCTTTGGACGTTGGGGATGATGCATTCATGTACATGTTGTATGATTCTGTCTATAACCATGTGCAACTTTAATTCACTAAACTATCGGTTTGGCTTCAGATGGCGACCGCTAAGAAGCCGACAGAGAACCACCTCACTTGTGTCATCTGTACAGAGGTGTTCACAGACCCAGCCACACTTCAGTGTCATCATACATTCTGTAAGTCTTGTCTGCTGAAATACACCAACACACAGCCGGAAGCAGTACAAGCCAAGTCCATCCGATGTCCCTCCTGTAGACAACAGACGAATGTGACCAACCCTGACAATCCAGTACGGGAGTGGGTCAGTCAGCTGAAACCAAGCCACGTCATACAGGGGCTGATGGACGACTTTGGACCCGGCATAAAGGGTAATCAGCGTATAATACTACTGCCTGACTACTAATATACCTTTTAAAAGGTTTGTAAACAACCACTCATGTGTGCATAGACGAGCATTCAGTCATAGAATTGCTTATTTTTCTTCATGTTAATAGATTTTGATGCAGGATACACATTTCTTTCTTGCAAAGGCAAATAAATTACATTCCGTTTGCGATAAAGAGTTTCCGATGAACCAAAATACCTATCGCGATAATTTTATGAAATCAATATAAATTTCATGTCGTCATTCCTTTTTGTTATATTATTATCAGTTATTAATAGAATTTGTAGGACAAGCTAGCATATAAATGTCACAATTTGTGACTGCTTATCCTGAATAGGGACTACAATATATGTCACAGCTAGGACGGGATCTGTTGACAGAACTGTGGGGTTGATCTTAGTCGCCCTCCACTGTGACATGCCACAGCTAGGACGGGATGTGTTGACAGAACTGTGGGGTTGATCTTAGTCGCCCTCCACTGTGACATGCCACAGCTAGGACGGGATTTGTTGACAGAACTGTGGGGTTGATCTTAGTCGCCCTCCACTGTGACATGCCACAGCTAGCACAGGGATGACAGAACTGTGGGGTTGATCTTTGTCGCCTTCCATTGTGACATGCAACAGCTAGGACAGGGATGTGTTGACAGAACTGTGGGGTTGATCTTTAGTTGCAGGTACATTTTACTGGCTGTGCCATGGCCCTACATTGTAACAAAGCATGTTCAATGAAAACGTGTATGTTAAGTTTTCTGTCAGTTAAGGCTCCAATCTATAAAGACGCTGTAACCCCCGCAGTTTCTTATATGCATCTGTTATTGTATATCTTGTCAGCAAATAATACACTTGTGATTATGATTACCTGTAGGTCATGATTGACAGGGGAGTGCTAAATTGTGAGACAGCATCATTGTTTCATTACAACCTGTGCCATATGATATGTTTATCTCCAGAAAGGGCGTGGCAGTTTGTTACAAAATTAATGTGTTACCTGTTATTATTTCTTTAGATAATGTGTGATTCTTATCATGTTTCTGACAAATGAAATAAAACACACTGGTTTGTTTTAGCTGTGGAGGAAAACTTGTGCGGTGTTTGTACAAAACAAGGAAAGACAACTCCCGCCACTTCTTGGTGCTCTGTCTGCGATGTTGTGTACTGTGAAGGATGTCTCCAGTTGCACAACATGATGCCAGTGTTGTGTGACCATGAAGTAGCTCACTTGTCTGATCACACCAAGACAAAGGTCAAGCGTCGCTTCATGTGTGAAGTCCACAGAGACAAACCGATAGAGTTGTTCTGTAAAGACTGCAAGCGGGCAATATGCACGATATGCTGCAGTATAAAACACAGGACGTGTAAGGATGTTGATACAATAGAGAGCACCACCCCTCTTGTGAAGGAACAACTGACAAACAAAATAGAGGAACTCAGAATCAACATGGCGGCTACGAATAATAACATAACCAGGGGGAAATCTACAATTCAAGATGTGAAGAGTAATTCACAGGACGTTAAAGATCAAGTTATAAAGACACGGGAAACAGTGATGCGTGTTATTTTAAGAAAAGAGAAGCAACTCCTTGGAGACATAGACAAAGCTACTGATGAACAATTACATGAGTTACAAGCAGATATACAATCCCAGGAGATCGAGCTACAGATGTACCAGCAGCAGTATGAGTTCACAGCCAATGCTGTGACGTCCAACTGTGAGATGGACATGTATGCCGTCTATGAGTCGATGGGTGAGACGTCTACAGACAACAGAGACACGGACAACAGACCAGCAGCAGGAAGGGTTGTATTCACACACGACCTGGACAAGCTGAGTGAAGCAGTTGGTGAGCTACAGCTGGGGGAGGTTCAAGTCGTCCATGGAGTGAGTGACCCAAGGTCTTCCCCTGTTCTACATCACACCATTGACAGCGAGGAAGATGGGGACGGGAAGGATCCTTGGTTGTGGGACGTCACAGTGTTGACTGTTGATGACATCAAAGTGGTGGTAGTTGCACATTACAATAACAACAGACTCCTAACATACTACACATCAAACTTAAAATCCTTTGATAATCAGCTTCTGCTTTCTAATAGGCCTTGGCAAATAGCCAAGTTAAGTGAGAGTCAGATAGTGGTCAGTGTTCCACACAGTCAGGAAATAGTTACAGTGAATGTTACCCCAGATCCTGTATTGCTGTCAACTATCAAAACAAGAAAGAAGTACTGCGCTCTGGCCACTCTGAGTCTTTCACAGCTGGCGGCAGGCACATTTGAACAGTCTCACTCTGTGGACATACTGGACATGACAGGGAGGAGACTGAGGTCTATCAACACGGGGGTGGTAGGGACTCCAGAATATATCCATGTCACCAGAAACAACAACTTGCTAGTCAGTGAAACTGCAGTAAATTCCCTTGTGTGTGTGACCAGTGAAGGAGGCGCTGTTTTCACCTCCACTCCCACAGGAGTCAGAGCTCTGTCATATCCTTGGGGTATCACAACAGCCAGCACAGGAGATATTCTGCTTGTGGACAAATACTCCCACAAGGTGATTCAGCTGACAGAGTTGGGGCAGTTTGTCAGAGATGTCCTCACACAACAGGATGGTCTGGAATATCCTGAAGGTGTCTGTCTTGATGCTGACGGCCTGCTGTATGTTACGTCTGCAAGATATGTAAAAGTATTCAAATTCTGCAGGCGCTGAATATGGAAATAGAGATAACTTTGATCTCCATACACAGTTGAATCTTTCAAAAGTTGACTGCTGTTTTAGTTCCAGATCGGATCCAGTTCTTCCCTTACACGCGTAGTTCATCATTTCATTGGTTAAAGACAGGACAACCTAGCACCAGTAGAAATCTGACCTGATAGAAGTACTTCTCAAGTAGACCTAGCACCAGTAGTAGTCTGACCTGATAGAAGTACTTCTCAAGTAGACCTAGCACCAGTAGTAGTCTGACCCGAAAGAAGTACTCCTCAAGTAGACCTAGCACCTGTAGTAGTCTGACCTGATAGAAATACTTCTCAAATAGACCTAGCACCAGTAGTGGTCTGACCTGATAGAAGTACTTCTCAAGTAGACCTAGCACCAGTAGGAGTTTGACCTGATAGAAGTACTTCTCAAGTAGACCTAGCACCAGTAGTAGTCTGACCCGATAGAAGTACTCCTCACGTAGGCCTAGCACCAGTAGTAGCCTGACCTGATAGAAATACTTCTCAAGTAGACCTAGCACCAGTAGAAGTCTGACCTGATAGAAGTACTTCTCAAGTAGACCTAGCACCAGTAGTAGTCTGACCTGATAGAAGTACTTCTCAAGTAGACCTAGCACCAGTAGTAGTCTGACCTGATAGAAGTACTTCTCAAGTAGACCTAGCACCAGTAGTAGTCTGACCTGATAGAAGTACTTCTCAAGTAGACCTAGCATCAGTAGAAGTCTGACCTGATAGAAGTACTTCTCAAGTAGACCTAGCACCAGTAGTAGTCTGACCTGATAGAAGTACTTCTCAAGTACATTTGTGAAAGGAACGCACAATGACAGCACTGAATGAGGACAACACTACACGAGAGATCACGTGACCTAGACAGATGATATTGGACAGTATTGTTGTTTTATGTTGTTCATAGAACAGTAATGTTGTGTTGTGTAGTGTACTATATATCTGACGTGTGTTGTCATGGAGAAACCTGTTCAGATAATTGTGCATGCTATCGGTCTTCAGATTATCAGTTCGACAACCAATCTCCTAATGTTTTAAAGGGGCGTTTAACTCTTATAAAATACCACCAGCGTTCGGTGATCTACAGTGGATATAATAATGTGTGGATTCTGTGAGAACTGGTTGAGTTCAGTAAATGTACTAATTTGTATCTGTTATTTCCACAATCTGTGGTATTGAGTTGAGTATGATAGTAACAAGATTCAACTCAATTCTCACAATACACTCTCTATCAGTCATATCCCAGACACATAGGAGATAAGGAAATCTTTGCCGTAGCGATGTTCAAGGAAAACAATGCTGTACACCCATGCAGGTGAAATTGTATTCATAGTTTACAAGGGACAGGGTGTGGTTTGACAGGTGATCAAAGGGACACAACTCTGTGCAGAAATATGTATCTCTTTATGCTCTTAATATGCTCTTCCGGAGCCTGGGAATATTCATAAATCTACAATTTGTCCTGAGGTTTTACAAAAGCAATTTATTGCTCACTGGACATGTTTGATCTTCTGAACAAAATGCGTCATAAAATTTATTGTTCGGCTGCTACTTTCATACAAACAAGTTTGGTGTTCTACAGCAATGACTGAAAACATATCCTGTCTGGAACAGAAATCCCATGTGTAAAGTGTAAACGTTGTTTATTCTGGCGAACAGTTACTGCTTGATCGCTCACCCAAATTAATCACGTTAATACGTGGCATCAAACTACTAAATGATTATACATATATGTTTAAATAGTCTTTACATATACTAGTATATAATCAATTTGCCTTTATTGCATATGCAGGAAACTAGGGTATCAGCTGAATAAGGATGGTTGGACAACTTCTATATTACTTCGTACTTCAACTTCTCAAAGAAGTCATGATATCAGCTGACGATTTTGCATTTTGTCAGACAATAGTTCCTCCTACGGCAGTGTACGCCCCCAAACCCGATCTGCACTCTTTCCGGGACATTAATTACATCATTACTCGAGACAGCGTGACGCACCATTGCAAGACGGGGTTGGCACTAAGGGCATAATCTTCTAACCACACTTCTATTCAGTTTGGCAGTTTTTATGTGAAGGAGACTCGCATAATTCTTGGTAAATTCGATTCGAACATTTATGCAATTGATTTCCGGTCTATTCTGACCGAACGGAGCAATGAATGTAATTTCGATTCGGCTTCAAATAGAAATAAAATCGGGGGGAGACAGCCTCTGAACATCCCGGGACGGTTGCCTCATCAGGAATTTGTTTTGCTTTATATCTACATTCCACCTACATACATTGTTGTATGTATGTAGTTTTAGTATCACTATTAACAATAAAATGTAAAATATTTGTAGTAATTATCAGTGGCAGCCAATGATTGAACTGATTGTAAAAAAATATCAATTGCTGTCGTGATCAGATTTGAACAGCTTCGGTGGCAGGTATTGGAATTTAGAGTTACCTCCCCTGGTAGTTTACAAACATGAGAGGCTCGATCGTTCGAGACGTTTCGGGATGGGGAGTTTCAAGGCTTGCTGGACCTTATGGGAGTAACAAGAGAGCAATTCTAGGCCTGTTTCTAACCAGGCATCCATTCACACATTCCAACTATCACATTCCAGAATCGAACCAAAGTCTTCGCAACAACCACTAGACTTCCTACAACCCTGATCGTGAGGTTTTTTTTACGACATCACAAATGGTCTGTACCCTCAAGGTCATATCAATAAGGAATACGAAACTGTATCGTAACACACCAATGATTGTGAATATGTACGAATCCCCTTGAGGAAAATGAAAGAAAAACATGTTGACGCATTGCAAATGATTCCATATAAACACTACAGGAATATATTTATTACTCTTTGACACAGTCATGCAACTGTAACACTATAGGTCATACTTCCCGGTACCCATCATACGACTAACTAAACCGAAACTAAAGCGTTTGGAATAAACCTTACATACAATACAATCTCAGAGAGGATAACTATCTAAATTACGTCGAGCTATCCACACTTCTAGATAAGAGATGTATTTTAAGGTCATAGAGTCGGTAAGGAATTAACCGTGGCCATAAAGTGCCATTGTCCTAAAAAGTATTTCCAGATCCCGAAGACAATGAAGTCTGAATTCAAATGGTAAAGTTATCAATCGGTATGATCTTGTTAAGCAAACATATTGCAACTTAACACGTATGCAGGCGATTATTACATGTATACTACTCAAACGAAGATAAGGACCGCTCGATTATTTGAGAGCATGACAGATGAAAGACTATGAAAGAATTAACTTCTATTGAGTAGTATATTTTTGTCCTGCGAGAATACATTGCAGTGACACGCCCGTAATATTTTAAGCTGGGATACCGGATAACGAGTATTAGACATCGGAATTCAGCGTTATTGAAATATTTCAAAAATTTAACTCGCATATTAGCGTGTTCCTACCTCGAGGACAGTCATGGCTTCTTGGTGTTGACAGATGACGTTGTGTGTGTTCATGTGGTGAGTACAGGGTCCGCCATGACAGAGAAGTGTTTCGTGGGCTAGGCGGTTGATGTGCCGGGTGGAAACATCTGATCCATGTCGTGGTTTCAGCGTTTGAAATGTCATTGTGCTATTGTCATAGTTAATGATAACATGTGAAACTCGGTTTTCTGTATGAGTCATTCAAGCTTAACGCCAAGCCACGTAGTTATGCAACAATACCCACGACGGTGATAAGTATAGAATTACATACATGCCGGGAGACACAATCTTATCGAGTTATCTACTGAAATAAATAGGGCGGGCCGACATGGCGATGTTCATTGTGCCAAGTAGAATATTTAATGTTCGTACAAAGTATTTTGCGTTGATGCTGTGGCACACAATGTAGGTAAACAAAACAAAATGTTTTTGTGAAAGAGCGAACAATAATGAGTTAAATAGTGTGCAGGAGAGTTTTGTTTGTTGTTTAACGCCGCATTCAGCGATATTTCAGCTATATAGACTTGCAACAAAATTTTGCAAATTACGTGATAGGATGTGGCATGTTTGTGAAATTTCTGGTGCTGAATTCTAAAGTAGGTCGTGATGTGACTTTAAATTTATACGTGTTAAATTTAAATTTAATCACAACAAAAAAATACTGCACAGTGCATGTTCGTGGTACATTGTTGTGAAAATATGCTTGTTTGTTTGTTTGTTGTTTAATGCTGCTCTCAGCAATATTCCAGCTATATGACGGCGGTAAATAATTGAGTCTGGACCAGACAATCTAGTGACTGACATCATGAACATCGATCTACGTAATTGGGACACGATGACATGCATCAACCAAGTCAGCGAGCCTGACCACCCAATACTATCAGTGATCTCACAAATATGGATGCTGAAGACTAATGCTAGCCCGAATCTTCATCAATATTATTAAAATCAGATCTTAGTTCTTGCTACCGCTAAACAAAGATCTGAGTGAGTGAGTGAGCGAGTGAGTGGATGGGTGGTAGGGTGGGTGGTTGGGTGAGTGAGTGAGTGAGTGAGTACGAACCCTGTTGCCTATACTTGTGCGAAATTGCGTGCCTGTGATAGTGGGTGATAGTGGGTGGTTCGCCAATATTATGTTTCTAGGTTTGTTACCACTATGCCAGTGTTCGTGGATTTCACCAAAGGGGTAAACGTGTAAGACCTGCAGCACTTCCGGCTTGCCCCACATCACGTTACTTCTCCGAAATATACCTGGAGAGGTGTTCAAAGCGGCGTTGAACCACACTCACTCACATGCCGTGAAGGTCATGGAACAGTAATATTAAAGTCGCTATCCCGCTACAGTGGGTGAGTGAGTGAGTGAGTGTATGGCGAAATCGCCGGCAATACCCAAGCTGTACCACGTGTCATGACACAAACGTTTACATTGATTCTGGACCTGACAAACCAACACTGAATATAGAAGCTGCTATCAACGTCATCGGTGCACAAAACAACATGCATTCATGACCGAGAAAGACACTCGATGACCGTTGTAGCCGTTATTTCGACAAGTATCAGGTATTGGGTACCTACCCTGACACACAATCCTCAAAGAATCAGCAGTCAGGGGCTGCGAGTGGTTATATTTAGCAGTGAACTTATAGCGCATTCGTGACCAACTCGTGTTATTCCGGGACAAGCAGAATAGCGACTCGTGCCCCTCTCGTGGGCATCT